GTACTCTGATAATTCAGAGTCAAATGCGTACGAACTCTGAAACTGATTCAATGTACCTTGGCACCGACACCCACGATTTGCGCTAGTACGTGTACCTGGGTGGTCAATCACGCGTAACCTTGGACCACACATCAACAGTCAAGTTTTGTGGGCGTGGCCGCCCTGCGACGCGGTTTTTCCTACGTAAACACCAGGGCACACCCTGCTAGAGCACCAATTGGTCCTTATGGCAGCTTCTGTGTGCCATCACGGACCGGCCTTGCACCCACGATGCTGCACTAGCCACCCACGACACAACGATGACAGCATTGCACTTCTGACGCGCCTCGTCGTTGTCGTGCATGCTAGGCAACCACCCATCCACCTCAACGGGTCCTCCTTGTCTTGTCTATTGCCATCACCTTTCAGCTAGGGTTTCATCCACACCCCCTAGCTGGTGTTGACTGGCCTCAGCCAGTCCCTAGTTCTGCCTCGCGAACACATTTCTTGTTCCTGCTCGGCAGGCTCTTTCTGAACCCCACCATGGCGGTGCTGGACAATCCCGGCTCCAGCGATCCCGACCCTGATTCCCAGCCTGCCTTAACAGGCTTAGACTTTCTTCTCAGTACGTTAGAACTCGACAAGGCAGCACGCGCCACACCCGATACGATCCCCACACAGAAAGAACCCACGGCACCGGTTATCTCACTGTCTGCCGAACCTGTGGCAGAGACACCTGCGGAACCAACTGTGGGTGCGGCCTCGCAGCATTCGCCTCTGACCACGGCGCGCACGATTCGGCTCAAGCAGGCGACATTGGGCTTCTGCAAGGCATCGTCGTCATCCGCCGACGTCAACGCCCCCGGAACATCTGAGCGACCGCGTCCACGCCTTAACATCAGCCTGGACGAGCTCATCGAAGAAGTCTACGATGAGGCGATAGACAAGTTCAAGAGTCTCTGGTCTGCTCGTTTTCCGTGGCTTCGGATCACTAAAGTCGCCTCTGGTTTGCCTGCGTTCAAGTGTACTTTGTGTGTGTCATTTGCTGGCGATGCAGGCAAGTGCGGGAGGAGTGGGAAAGGTGCTACCGATTTGCAGACACAGTCGTTTCGGAAACATGCTGGCACGGCGAAGCACAAGCTGGCGATGACGAGGTTGACATCTGCGCAGAAGTGCCGGGCGACGCAGCCGCTTATCGACCAACATCGCGCAACGGTTGATACTGAGAAGCTGCGCGTCATCGCCCTTCTGACTCGTTGCTGTTCGTCAGCAGGTCCGACGCGCCCATGGGGATGTGGGTGAAACTGGTGCGGTATCTGGCGGAGAAGGGCGTGCAGGGCTTCCCGAAGAACGGGTACGGCACGTACTATACGACGTGAGTGATGAACACTTTATTTGAGCTGCTGTAATAATATGTGTTTCCAGAAAGTACGTCAATGATTTGATACTCACTGTTGTTTCTTGTTGCAGATACGGCTTCGGTGAGCTGACGTAAGCGACGGCGACATGGCTCCAGACAACCCAGCTGGATCACATCCTGCTGTCGCCCTTCGTCGGCATCTCGATCGACGAGAGCACTGATAGGTGCAGCGGGAAGCACCTTATCATCTTCATCACCTTCATCCGCGAGTTCAAGCTTGTCACCGAGTTTCATGGCCCTACTCACCGTGTACAAGGCCGACGCAGCCTCTCTTCTGGCTAGCTTGGTGTCACACCTGCAGGCACTGGGGATCGACCTTCAGCGCATTGAAGGCATCAGCACCGACGGTGCGACAGTCATGATGGGCAAACAGGGTGGCCTCACGACACGCCTCCGTGTGCGCATCCCACATTTGGTGTCATCCCACTGCATCACGCACAGGTACTATCTGGAATGTTTGTGCCTAATCGTTCAGTGCAATGTTTACATATTCTATTTGACAGTCTCACTAATGTCCTTCACTCGTGTTGTACAGGGAGGCACTGGCGGCTAAAATTGCCGCCGAGAAAATCCCCGCCTTCAACGTCATTGACAAGGTGATTCGGACAGTGGCAGAGCATCTCGGCCGCTCTGGGCCATGGCACCAGCGCTTCATGGGCTTGCAGGAAGTTTTCACGTCAACTTCACTCGAGTTGCAAAGCATTCATACCGTCCGCTGGCTATCGAGGGGTGACGCGGTGCAGAGGCTTCTGAAAGTGTTGCCGGCTCTCATCGTGATGCTGAAGGAGTGGGACGCGGAGCTGTATGTGCTCGTGACAAGCTACAAGTTTCACTTTCTCCTGTTTTTCATAGCAGACGTGCTTGAGCAGCTCAACATCTTGAACAGGGCCTTCCAGCACAAAGAGGTGAGCTCAATGTTATAGTGTCCTATCATTGTTGTTACATGCTTGGTCAATATCCTCTTCTGCTAAGTTCTAGTGCTTTTTCTTTCCAGCATGCTTACCATACGCATGAGCTAACTACCTTGTGCCTTGTTTCTGTCCAGCTTGACTATGTGGGCGTGCATGCGCAGATCAAGCGCACAACGTCCCACATCGAGAGCCGCTACGTCGATTGCGGTGATGACTTCGGTGGCGGCGTTAGCGAGCTGCTGTCCCCCTTCATCACGCGCCACGGCCCAAGAGGAAACAAGGAAGTTACTGTCGAGAGTGTCGACTCGGACGGCCGCCCTGCACGCTTCACCTTCAGGCTGCATGAGGACGAGCAAGAGGAATTTGATGGGCCTGGGACCCACGATGCTTGCATTGAGGTCTGCACCCAGTTCGCCGAGGTGATCGTGCACCAACTGCTTCATCGGCTTGGCGATCTGGAAGGGATGTCTGGGGCAAGGCTATTCACCCCCGACGAGTACCCGCTGGATCGAGGAGAGAGGAACCGCAGGTGCATGGAGTGGTTGGAGTCGCTTGTGACCCTTTTCAAGGCCGACCAGACCGAGGAGATCCTGCCCGGTAAGCCCATGTTTGTGTAGTTCTCATGTAACTGTTGTAATTGGCATTGCATATGTTGTGCTTCACTGTATATTCACTAAGCATCGTCTACCGTTACTCTTCCTCCCCCACCAGGAATCAACAAGCGTCGTGTGGAAAAGGAGCTGCGCATGTTCTCCTCGGTGCTTGCAGGAGCCACGAAGAACGAGCGCAGCTTCCACGCCGGGCTCACTGCCATGCTCATGACACCCGACTGGCGGGACAACTACCCCAACCTCGTGCTTCTGTGGGTGGCAGTAGCCGTACTGCCGCTGAGCACAGTGGAGTGCGAGCGGAGATTCTCCCGCCAGAACATCATCAAGTCGTGGCAGAGAGGCGCGCTGAAAGATGCACGCCTAGGAGACCTCATGTGCATGAGTCTCATGGACTACGAGCGCAAGTGGGATGAAATTGTGACCATCTGGAGGAGCTACAAGAAGCGCAAGCCCCAAAGCAACGTTCCACTCCCGCCTGCAGGAAGGCAACAGAGCAAGAAGAGTAGGGAGGTTGATGACGAGATGGAAGTGGTAGACTTAGACGCTGAGAAAGATGCAGTTGACAGTGATGTTGACGATGGATTTGCTGACTGGATGTAGGTAGGGTAGTTAGTTAGTTCTATTCTAACTGTGATCTTGTGAAGGCTAAGCAGCAGCATTAGTAGTAGTAGCAGTAGTAGTAGTAGTACTAGTATGAATGTAGGCAAAGATGTATGAGAAGTGGAGTAGGCTTGCTTCAATATGACTACTAGGGCTACAACAAGCACAATCAGACTTTTACTTGAGTGTACTCCAGGCCCTACGATATCAGGAATTTTACCCTGAAATTCCTGATTTTCAGGGTTTTTTTTTTACCTACCCTGAAAATCCAGTGTTCAACTTTTCCTAGGGCTGATTTTTCAGCCTTCACATGCCACATGACTCTGAACTTTCAGCAATTTTTTTGAAGTGACACTGATGCCTTTACGTTGTAACGAGTTTGACCCTGAAAGCGAATCCTACTAGGTACGAGTGTACTTGACCGGAAGTACTGGGAAAATCAGATTCCCGCGGTGTCAGCAGGGCCTGTCGTTGACTATCGGACAATTTTGCCCACACTGATGGCCCCTTAGTTGGCGCGCCTGGTCCGTTCATTGGCCACATTTGCAACATTAAGTGACTTGACCAATTACAAGGTTGCAGCACTGAGATGCTGGCAGGCTGCGCTGCGAGGGATTCTGGCGGTCTAGGTCGTGCTGGCAAGCACTGATGCATCCACGCCTCCTAGCCGTGCTACCTGCCATCCAGCCTCACATCCCGTTCTGCTGTTTGCTTCCTTCCTAGTGTTTTTACTACTACCGTAGTAAAATAAAGACTACCGCACTAGTATCAGCCTTTTTCTGTAGGGAACACTGATGTATCAGACTTTTTTTTTAAGTAACACCGAACTTTCAGGCTTTTTTTTTAGGCGACCCTGACGATCAGGGTCTAGGGGCAGAGGGACCCTGATACCCTTACGTGCCTAAAAGTGAATCTGAGGGCCTGGTGTACTCTGAAAGTTTCAGACTTTTTTTTAAACACACTCTGACGTTTCAGACTTTTTTTTTAGACAACTCTGAGGATTTCAGACTAATACTGAGAGGGAGTCTTACGAATCAGACAGGCCAAAAACGAATCTGAGGGCCTGACTGAGATGATATGATAGTGTATTGATTCCAAGCTTAATATCTTCTCAGAAATCTCAGACAAGTATTAAGGATTCGTCTGAAAAGCTAGACAATGTTACAGCTTTTGTCTGACAATCAGACAAGGAGCCAGGACCCGGTCTTGATATCAGACGGGTCATTTTACTCAAGTTAGCCCTGAACCAGAGACGTACCGAAATACATTCTACCATAGATACGGTATTGCCCTACCTGCCAGCGTTACCAAAGCAACAAACGCCTATCCACAGCTGCAGATTAACCAGGGGCAATAGCCTGCTTGTGGAATCTTTCAGCTCCTAGCTGAAACTAGAACCTTGTGAAAGAATGGTCAACTCCTTGACAGAGCCTCCAACTGAAGATACAGGGCACCTATCGCCGGCTCTGGCTGGATCCTTCAAAGGCTGATAAGCTTCACGCTGCCCTTCCTAGCTGCTCGTCCTACCTCCTGCTTACGAGTACATCGAATATCTGCAGACGGCAATGTACAGCCAGCAACAGCTAAGGTAAGTGATAGATTAAGAAATCTTATAATTCGTATACTATGCAACTTACCAGCCCGAGCTACCATATACGGTACATCACTGTTGCCAGTAGCCCCAGTCGCGCCGTGCATAGTCTGTATCAAACCTCCGCCGCTTCGATGCACTGCCAGCCCCTGCGCCATACCCTTCCGCCCCTCCGTAACCGTAACCGTAGCCCTGGCCAGCGGCGCCCGAAGCACCTTGAGATCCGGCCCAGTTGCCTCCCTGCGCATAGCCAGACGCACCACCCGCAGAGCTACCGCCATAGCCACCACCCCCACCCCCCTGGCCGTACCCAGCAGGCCATTGGGATCGGCCGCCTGCACTATAGCCGGACCCGCCTGGAGATCCGCCGTAACCCGAGCTTCCGCCATAACCGCCAGCCCCGTACCCTCCCTCGTAACCACCAGCGCTTCCGCCGTAGCCGCCCCACCCGTACCCTCCGCCATATCCGCCCCCGTTCATCCCAGCGCCATACCCGCCGTACGCTCCATAGCCACCGCCGTACCCGCCGTACCCGCGACCGCCGCCTCCATAACCGCCGGAGTACCGGGAATCGCCGCGAGAACCGTAGCCGCCGCCGCCGCCGTAACCCCCACCGCCACCGTACCCGCCATATCCGTACCCTCCCCTTGCGCCATAGCCGCCGCGATATCCGCCGCGACCGCCGCCGGCGCTATCCTTTGGAACGGCCCGCTTGACCTCGACCTTCTTCTCCTTGAGCTCGTGAAACGTTTTCTCCAACACGCGCTCAACCGCTTCGTCCGAATCGAACGTGATAAAGCCGAATCCGCGCGGCCGCTGGGTGTTGTGGTCGTACATCACGACGACGTCCGTGATCGTGCCGAACTGCTCGAAGTATTGACGGAAATCGTCCTCTGTGACGGTTGACGCAAGCCCGCCGACAAAGATCTTCTTTGTCGACTGGGATGGCTGCGTTTGGGAAGGCTGCTCACCGCCGTCGCCATCGGCTCCTGCTGCTGCTTGTTCTCCTGACGCATTGCCTTGAGAAGCATCGGATTCTTTCGGCGGATTCTGCTCGTCTCGAGGAACAGCTTTTTTAGCTTCCACCTAAGAACCAAAGACGAAGGACATAGAAAAGCCACCAGCTTAAGTCTTACAGCTAAACGGCACTAAAAAACTGCTGAAATAGCTGCATTGAGCAATGATAGGGAGGCAGATTAATCAAAGTCGCCACGGCAAGTACTGATAGCGAACTACCGAAAATGCGAGAGCAATTCTGACTAATCTAAGCCGGACCTGTCTGCCATCGATAGTATGCTTCTCGTTAAGCACGCGATCCGCCACTTCAGGGTCGGTAAACACGACGAAACCAAAACCGCGAGATTTGCCCGTCATCCGATCCTTCATGATCACCGCCTCTTTAACCTCTCCGTACGTCTGGAAGTACTCGTTCAGCCTATCCTCCGTCGTGTCCCATGAGATACCCCCAATAAAAAGCTTTCCTGGGTCTGAATCCATGCCTGGCAAACGGAGGGATGGACGAAACCCTAACACCCCTCCAGAAGCGGTAGAGCAAGACTCGCAAAACTAGATGAATTGTGATTCCATCTTCGAAGCAGGGTTGTGAGATGCAACCAACTTGGAGAAGAGGAATCAGGGAGCCAAGACTCGGCAAAGAAGGTTCGAGAAGGATGAGGGTTACCACACCTTGTTTGTCGGGACGGTTAGGCTTGGACGGTCCAGGCTCGGCACGAGTGTATACCAGACCTACGAAATCTCCAGACGCGAACCATGTTTTCCAAATGACGCGACAAAATTTAGGCCGTGGGCTGTACAGACTGGAAAACTACAGAAATGCCCTACTAATGTCTAAAACGAGGATCATTTAGGGCGTGTTAAATCCCCTCAGTTCTGAAAATGGGGTGTGGCCGAATTTTCGACGACCAAATGGTCGTCATATTATTCGCGAACAACAACAAGGTGATCAATTCAGAGTCGACTCTTTTTCAGCCACCATTTTCAGTTTTGGAGATTTAACAACTTCGGTGGCCGATTTGCAGGCCGATCCGGAAAAGTTGTTAAATTTGCAGTTACTACGAGTAGTTCAGTATGTGCGACGGGGTCGCATTCTGACGACGATATCTCTCATTTGACGCGATCACAAAATTCGTCGTTGAGCGATGTCAGAATCCCAACCACCAGACCATTGGGATAAAATGACTTGTTTCAGTAGCGGGTCTGTGCGCCCATAACCCCCCAGGCGAATGCGCCTGTAACCCTCTCCAGGATCAATCGGGCATCCACAGTGCAGAACTACTGACACCCCCCCACACTGGGAGGCCCAGGACTAAGCACAGCGGCAACGGCCTACATGTGCATACGCCGGGAATCGAACCCGAGTTCGCTGTGATACCATATCAGAATCCCCAACCACTAGACCATTGGGATAAAAGGGCTTGTTTCAGTAGCGGGTCAGTGCGCCCATAACCCCCTAGGCGAACGCGCCTGTAACCCTCTCCAGGATCAATCGAGCATCCACAGTGCAGATCTACTGATAGGCGAAACCGTGCAACGTCACATGCGATTATCGCAGGGCTGATCTTATCAGGGTTGTTACGATATGAAGCTTTATGAGAAGGCATTCCTGTATGCTGCAGGAGACGACTCTACCGAGTACGAAGTCGATGAGTCAGAAGAGTCGAAGCGACGTAGCAACCGTCTGACCAAGTCCGATGCAGGCAGAAACATTTGAAGTGAAAAGAGCGGGAACATGTTTGAAACGGGTTCCCGCGCCGCACGGTTTGAATTTCGCTGCAATAAGGAAATGTACCCCTTTGAGTACATGGCTAGTCTAGGTCTTTTCGTATTCCCCTGTACTTTTATATAAGCCCGATGTATGCATGTTTTTATCAACTCAGTAATTTACATTCACTCTGACCTGAGATTCAAACTTCCGCTGCAAACACTACTCTGCGATCAACCCTGAGCGATCCTTTGCTAACTCCCACTTGGGATTGTAACATGTGTCAAACTCATATGCTTTAGTCTGTCTAGGATGTAGTGGGGTAGACACTATAGGGTACAACACTTCTAGGTTTCCTACTTGTACCCACTTCTTCCTTAGTCATTCTCATTCCTCTTTCTTCACATGGTATAGAGCGGGTTCCCTAGTGGGACCGTTTCTTCCTAAGGGCCCACCATTTTTTTTTTTCCTAACTTGCCCGAAGCGCGCTTCGCGCTCTGACCTGCCCTACCCTTTTGCGGCCCCTTAGCAGCCTGCCCTACTCCTGAGGCCCGTCGCGGCCCCTCTTTGCGGCCCCTTCGCGGCCCCTTCACGGCCCCTTAGCGGCCCCTTCGCGGCCCCTTAGCAGCCCCCCTTCGCGGCCCCTTAGCGGCCCCTTCGCGGCCCCTTCGCGGCCCCTTCGCGGTCCCTTCGCGCCCCCTTCGCGGCCCCTTCGCGACCCCTTAGCGGCCCCTTCGCGGCCCCTTCGCGGCCCCTTCGCGGCCCCTTCGCGGCCCCTTAGCGGCCCCCTTCGCGGCCCCTTTCGCGGCCCCTTCGCGGCCCCTTAGCGGCCCCCTTCGCTGCCCCTTCGCGGCCCCTTCGCGGCCCCTTAGCGGCCCCCTTCGCGGCCCCTTCGCGGCCCCGCCCCGCTGCCCTTAGCGGCCCCGCCCCGTCGCCAGTCGCGCCCCCGCCCCGTCGCCACCCGGGTGTCGCCCCTGCCTCGTCGCGACGCCTCAGCGGCACCCGCACGTCGCACTTGCCTCGTCGCGACGCCCATGCGGGACCCACGAGGCGCGGCTCCTGCGCGTCGCGACGCCCCAACGGGATCCGGGCGTCGCCCCCGCTCGTCGCAACGCCCCTTCGGGACTCGCGCGGCGCCGCCCCTGCTGGCCGCGGCGCCCTACCCTAACCCGCGCCCGACCTTCGGACGGCCGCTCCTGCCCCCCCCCCCTACAGCAGCCGCCCCTGGCCCCTGGAGCAACCGCCCTTGCAACAGCCGCCCCTGCAGCAGCCGCCCCTGGCCCCTGGAGCAACCGCCCCTACAGCAGCCGCCCCTGACCCTTGGAGCAGCCCCTCTTGGCCACTCGAGCAGCCGCCCCTGCAGCATCCGCCCCTGGCCCCTGGAGCAGCCGCCCCTGCAGCAACCACCCCTGGCCCCTGGAGCAGCCGCCCGTGCAGCAGCCACCCCTGGCCCGTGGAGCAGCCGCCCCTGCAGCAGCCGCCCCTGGCCCCTGGAGCAACCGCCCCTGGAGCATCAGCCCCTGCAGCTGCCGTGGAGCCCTCGCCCTGCAGTGGTAGCGGCCTCGCCGTTGCCGCCGTCGTACGCCTGCCCTTCTCGCCACTGGTGAGCACCAGGGCTGACGTTTCAAATTTAGGTACCCTGATGTCCACCAAAAAAAAAATTTTTAACCCTGAAGGCATATTTTCCAGAAAAGCAGCACCCTGATTGCTCAGTGTTGGGAAGTTATACAGGTTGAGTGTTCAGGGTCGAGAAGTCACGATCAGGGTACGTGTAGTAACGCGCTGTGCATTATCGAAACTGAACTTTGATGGCGAATCTGTTCTGTGAAAGGGCGAATGTGCAATGTCAGAGACATTTTGCTGTGATTGGTCAAGACCTTTGTGCTCTGACAGCTCAAATCTGCTGTGTCAGGGCCATTTCGCTGTGATTGGGCAAATTCGTTGCTCCGTACGGCGCGAATTCGCTTTGTCAACGCGAATTTTTAATGACGCTGGTGCTGTGACCAGTCAAGACAGGTTTGACTCACCAGTTTGACCCTCACTAGTGAACCTCGGAGGTGGGTGTATCGAAAGGAAATTTTGAGGCAGCTTCCTCCCGATAAACTTGCATGCAGGGACCACAGAACGCATACTCTGTAGTGACAGACTCCAGAAATGACTAACACTGAGGCCTATTACACTGAATCAGGGGCCATAAAACAATAATTCTGAGGCTCTCAGTGATGAAAATTTGACTACTCTGGAATTCCATTTTTCACAAACTCGATGGTCTGATCCGTCAGACTAATCAGACTATTTACTCTGATAGCGTCAGCCCTGGTGAGCACTGCCCTGCCCGTACTGCTGTTACTGCTACTCTTGCTGCTACTGGTCTTTCTACTGCTACTGCTGCTCCTGGCGTGGCCAGATGCAGCTCCAGCGCCGTCCGCGTGAGTCCCTCAGGCCCCAATAGCTTCGTGAGTGGTACACTAGTTGGGGTTGTAGGGGTGGCCGCGCTGCTACTACTGCTACTACTGCTACTACTGCTACTACTGCTACTACTGCTACTGCTACTACTACGGCTACTCCTGCTACTGCTACTACTATTGCTACTGCTGCTACTGCGGCTACTACTGCTACTGCTGCTCCTAGCGGTGGCCAGATGCAGCTCCAACGACGTCCGCGTGAGTCCCTCACGCCGCAGCAGCTTCGTGAGTGGTACGCTAGTTGGGGTTGTTGGGATAGCCGTAGTGGGAGTCGTCCTGGAGTGAGTAGCTCGGGAGCTTCTTCTAGTGGCCACGTGCAGCTCTAGCGTAGTCTGCGCGCGGCTCTTTTGCCCCAGCAGCTTCGTGAGTGGTACGCTCAGCGTGGAGGGTCACGGAGTAGTGCACGCTGCCTGTACGTCATTTGCACTGGTGCTCGGACTGGTCAGCCTTGCGGGACGTTTGGTCACACAGAGTCCCGCTGCTTTGCCCGTTTGAGCCACGCTTGGCCTACAGAGTTTGGCGACGCAGCTGAGCTCCCCGACTGGGTGGAGCTGCTTGGGCAGAAGGTAGATATCTATGCTCTTGACTATGATGCTATCCTCACTGCCATGTATGCATTGCCTACTAGTGCTGCGGGTGCCTGTTACCTGTGTGTGCCGCCTGACCCCGGTATCCAGTCTGCTGCTCTAGGTACTGGTGAGGCTGCTGCTCTAGGTGCTCGTCCGTCTCCTGCTCCAGGTGTCGGTGAGGCTACTGCTCTAGGTGCTAGTGAGTCTCCTGCTCCACGTGCTGGTGCGTCTGCTTTCTCTGGTGCCACGCCTGCTGCGGTCTTACACACCTTCACCCTTGACTCAGGGGGCTCCGGCTCCTTCTTTCGAGACCGCACCACACTCACGCCGCTTAGTCAGCCGGTTGCAGTCTCCCTGGCAGACCCCTAATGGGGTCCTCTCCTTGCCCACTACTCCACTGTCCTATCGTGTCCTGGCTCCTTGTCAAGTCTTTACCTCCCCACATTCTCCACGAACTTGGTGAGTGGTGCTGACCTACAGGATCGGAGGGTTGACCAGTTCACTCTTGCGAGTCTGCGAGTGACCCACTGCACGTGTGCTCGGACTGGGCGACACTTGGCCAAGTTTACCCGTCAGCCGGGGTCGAGCCTGTACACACTGACCACCGAGTCTCCTCCAGCTCCTGCGGCT